ATTGTCAAAATCGATTTTGATTTCATTCCTAATCCCAATTTCATGCTCCATATATAGCACGAGTACAGTGGGATATCGTTTTGAGTGTACATAGTTCACTACATGGAAATTTCAAACAAAAACAAACCTTCCCGGGAGTGGTTGTATTGATAGAACCATCTGCTTCCTTCTCTGACCAAAGTCTAAGCTTGTGCTTACCAGTCTTGAGCTGTTTTTTCATGTTAAACAGATGAATGGTTGCCCCACCAACCACTCCATCACTTTTACCACAAGAAACATCATACACCTAAATTCGCACATCATCAACATAAAACAGAAATTCATTACGAAGTGACAGGAATAAATAAAACAAACAAAAGCCGTGTTCTCATAATTTCAATACAGTATATACAAGCAGATTATTTTACAAAAATAATATGCAGATTAAAATAATATGCAGATTCCAAAATATGATGGAAGGCTTACAGTGACAGCGAGTTGTGAATTTGCTGTCAAATCGCGATATTTAGTACTTAATGTAATTAGTTCGTTCCAACAATATGATGGACCTGAGGATTCCAGCCTGCATCAAGAGATTTTTATAAAATATTAATCAAAAAACCAGAAAATATTTGTAAAAAACACAAGCAAAATAAATAAAAAAATCAATTAATAATATGAAGACTCAACCTTGTTCTCATGGGAAGACCAAACGGTGCGCCATCAATGTACACCAAGCACTCAACGTACAACTCCGGTCTCCTCTCCTCTGACGTAGAATCAACGTCATCTGAATAATTCAAGCACAAATATTGTAATTAAGAATTCAATTACCGACGTTCCTGAAAATTACACATTTTCCCATGATAAATAATAAACTCCAACACGAGAAGAATAAATAATTGAATTATTTTCACAATTACCTGAATTAGGAGGCTTGGGCGGTGGTAATTTGCCTTCTAATCTTTCGATTCTGAAAGTGACGGGGAGATTGATGTCGCATGATAAGAAGAATCGGAATTCGTTTCCACTCATTCTGGCTTATGATTGTTTTCGAAAATAAGTAATTTTGTATTTCTACATGAACTTCAGAAATTGAGCAGTGGAAAATTTGTTGCTTGAACTTGCACGATTGCAGTTCCCCTTATGGAGAGTTCTACTGGGTTTTGTCCAGCTAATTAGTTCAAAGAAGTGGAGAGATCCAATCAAAGGTTGAAAAAAGAAATAAAACCGAAATCAAAGACTTCCACCGGCGCCGGTGACTCAAATAGATCGACAGGCTCACAGTGACCGGCAAATTTCGATTTCTCTCGAGTCGCGGACGGGGATTGGGGATGAACTATGGAGGAAATAGCGGCAAATACCCGAATGACCCGTCCAGTTTTGCAAAATATCCAATTAAAAAAAAAAGTAAAAAAGTAAAAAACAAGAAAAGACCATATTTTCCCTAAATTACCCTTGTAATTTGAAAAGAGAGAGAGAGAGGAGAATTCGAAGAAAAATCCGGACCATCCGGCACCACCATTTGAGCTGTACCTTCACCGACGACCCGGACCACGAGAAAATCGCCATTTTCAGTTGAAGAAGGTGAGTGTTGGAAAATATATGAATTTTTTACAAATGATGATTGTATTTTAAGTGTATAAAGAATGATATATAGGATTTGTTGATTATGTTTATAGAATTTGTTGTGGATTATTGAATAAATGATGTTTTTGGAGTGATTGGGAGGTGGAGATCGTCGGAAATGGCGATCTCAGCCTCCAACGCCGGCAGATCTGGGCGATCCCAGACGGTTTCGCCCGAACTGTCTGGACCCAGACGGTCCGGGCTCTATTTTGGACTTTTTTATATAATTAATACTATTTTATTCGATTATTTATTTAATATTATAAAAAATAAACAATTTAAAATAAATTATTTCATTTAATTGTTTAGTTATAAAAATGAAATAAACAAAATAAATATTAGTTAATAAGGAAATTAATTATAAAATCTTCTATTACTTTGAAATAAGTGAACAATTACAATAATTGATTTAAAATAAATTATTTTAAATTACTTATTGCAATTGTTAAAAAAACATTAAATGAATAATTACAATAAATTATTTCATTTACTTGTTT